TACTTGTAATCTTGAGTTTTAAGTAATATGCATTAATAAACAGTACTTTACGCATAAAAAGTAGTTTTTAAGAGTTTTTGTCAAATGCTTTATAATATAGTATAAATTTTCTTTATATAATTTAATTTAAGTTTAATAATGAAATAATTTATTTTTGGTTTAATAATATAAGAATTTATAAAGATAATAATTAAGTATTCTGTTAGAATTCAATGATTATCGTAATTATATTTAGATTTTTTATATTTAAAATGAGATGTTTATCCTGTATTTGATTGTGTTTATCTGTAGTTAGTTACWCGAATTCAGATATGGAGCTTTAATAAGTTGTACCTACGCACAACTTACTTGTAATCTTGAGTTTAAAGTAATATGTATTAATAAACAGTAATTTACGCATAAGAAGTGGTTTTTAAGAGTTTTTGTCAAATGATTTATAATATAAAATATATATTTTTTATATATAATTTAATTTAAGTTTAATAAAAAACAATTTATTTTGGTTTAATATTATAAATTTTATAAAGATAATAATTAAGTATTCTGTTAGAATTTAATGATTATGCTAATTATATTTTATATTTTTATATTTAAAATTATATGTTTATCCTGTATTTGATTGTGTTTATTTACAGTTAGTTGCACGAATTCAAATATCAGATGAAATCGGATAGGGATGAACGGGTTTAAGAATTTTTAAGAGTTTTAGTCAAATGCTTTATAAGATAGTATATATATATATATATATATATATATTGTCATCTATCACATATTTTTCCAATTATACCCTTCATTATAAGATAGAAAATTAACCATCTCTTTATTAATTATTAAGGATAAAACTGTCATTTGGTTTATTAAAAATATAATTATATATATATATATATATATATATATTGTGTATTTTTCATTTTGAAACGAATGAAGTAATTTAAAAAAAACGTTATTTTACTTGAAACATGAAACAAGTAAAGAGTCAGGTCATCCAAGTGGACTTGCTTCATCTGTCCAAAATGTTATAGTACAAACGGGCTAGCTGCTCCATCCTCGATTTCTTATGATCTTCGTTAATTTATTTGAATTCGATAATGCAAATCTTATTTATCTCCATTTATCGATTTTCTGATAAATTTGATTGAGATAAAATCAAAGTATTTGTGAAAATTCATTTTAAAAAGTACAAAATGTTCTCGTACAATTAAACAGTGTTGTGGAGAACAAGAATATCGTGGACGTCTGAGGATTACTTACAAACATCTCTCGATGTAGTATAAAAAGTTTTCTATACCTTTCTTCTCGAACTACATAATTCCACGTATTTAGTTATTCTTATAACTTGAAAAGTGACGACTTTTGCTACCTTTTTTTGAAGTTTATAATATTTATATACAACAAATGCAAGAAATAAACTCACACACTCTCCTCACCTTTTGTGAGGTTTGAACCTATGACCTCGTAGGAAATCAAAGACTACGATACTGCTAGGCCAAAGATCATTTCAATCTCCACCTTCATTGAATCTTGGCACAATTTTGCTCTTTTTTTTTCACATATCATATATCATCATCTAATAGCCATAAAATATAGCTATAATGTAAGGGAAAGTCAAGTTATGGACTAGTTGGGCAAAATTAATAAAATATAAAGTCTAGGGGTCCATTTGTCAGAGCGAAATCTCAAGGACTTGTATGAATCGAGCTCAAACCTTTTGGAATAGAACATGAGCTAGAGGTTACTGGTATTGATAAGGTCAAAAATCGTTGGTTTTGGAACTGTAAATTGGGAGATTAGTATCTCATTCACATCTAACATCGTTTCTAAGAGGAATCAAAAGAAAAACACAGAGAAAGCAACAAAATCAAGTAAAAGAAGAAGAAGAAGAAAAAGCTAGGAGCAATAAATCGTGCTGCTTTATAAGAATTGACTCTAAACATTGTTTAGATGCTTGACCGGTATGATATGATGTATTTGACGTCTTGGCATCAAACAGGGACATAAAATGGATGCTTACGACCATCAAGTAGCCAAACGAAGGCTTTAGTATGTGATATGTGTGAAACGTTAGTTTATCCTCAATTAATGCATACAAGTATGATTTGTTGATCGATATTCAAGTATGTTGATCGTTAGTAATAAATGTAACTAATATTCTTGTATAAAAATGACAAATTAATTCAGATTAGAAGTGAACTGTTTATGAAAAAAAAATGTTGGAACATTCGAACTAGAAAAAGTAGAAATTGGATCTGTGCATTTGAAACGGTCATGCAAGAATAATTTGTAATATGGCACAGTCATGCTGGTGGTTGACACGACTATGTAGGTTTGTTTTTGTAATTTGGTACGATCGTGCAAGACGCAAGCACACCCATGTGGGGTTTTACTACAACAAAATTGACTTTATATATGACGTATAGAATGTCTAATCGTCCTAATAAAATAACTTATAAGACTTAAGTTAATGGAACCAAATGGAAAAAAAAACGTCATAGTTGAAAGTGTTACAGTAGTTTTATATGACACTTTTAGAAGTTTTAACAAGTTGTTAAGACGTTTTCAGAATAAAATATCGTATTAGTTATTTTATACGACACTATTCGTAAATTAGTTATATTGTTGAAATATCGTGTTAATTATTTTATATAAACTTAATAAAATGTCGTATTGGTTATTTTATGGCTCTAATGTATAAATACGCTTAGCATTTTAAATTAACGTAAGATTTGATCTAAAAATATTTAGGGGTTGTTTGTTTAGTTTTTAATTAAGTCAGGTATGAATAAAGTTATCTGTATAAATTCGGAAGAAATTTTTGTTAGGGAAAGTTTAAAGTTTTTTTTTTCATAGATGAAATGAACGTATTCTTTAGTTGAAATATACAAGTTTTAAAAAAAAAACTTAGTTTTCTATTTAAAGTTCTTCTAAAATCTTACTGAATAAGTCATTTTTTATATTATTAAGCTACTATTAAACAATTAAGTATAACTAATCAAATAAATTATAAGTCTTATTAAACTCGGCTATTAAACAAACAAACCCCGTTAATAATTAATTTCCAAGAAGCTCCTCCAATAACTTATCATCCAAATACTCAAACTCGATCACCGCCGCCGCCGCCTCCTTTTCCGATCCACCATCATCATTCTCCACCGGAAAACTAATCCAAGAAGACGTAGTCGAAGTGGACGTTAACGGTACGGAGGAACTTGAACCTAGCTCCGGCGTAGCGCCGCTTCTGTACTGGCCGTCGTTAGGGAAGTTAAGAATAGCCTGATGACCCCTTAAAGCAAACGCCGCCCTGTCGTAAGCCCTAGCAGCCTCCTCCGCCGTCCCAAAAGTTCCCAGCCACGTCCTTGCACCGTTCTTGGTCGGATCACGTATCTCCGCCGCGAACTTTCCCCACGGCCGTCGCCGGATTCCTCTGAACTTGTTTTCTCTTTTTCCCTTCTCCTCACCGGCGCCGGCGTGTTGATTTGCATTCATGGCTGTACAACTATGTGTTCCGATCGAGATAGATTTATATAAGAAGGGTTTTCCGGGAAGAAATTGAGGAATTAGTGTGGGTCATAAGTGGTGGATTGAATTGGTTCAAAAGCTGACAACATGACCACCGCCGGCCATTTCCGGGAAGGTTCGACATCTAATCTGAAACCTGGTGGCGTGCACGTGTGTGTTGGCTGGTAAACCACAAAATTACTAAAAATAGAAACTTTTTATAGGAATTTGGACTTCAGCTGTTGTCGCTTGTTTGACTCTCGTGAAAATCAACAAGATATATATGATGTTTTAAATTATTCTAGAAACTTCGTCTAATACTTCCATTATTGTTTTTTCAACCATGGGTTTTTTTTTCAAGTACGATTATCCGTACAACTAATTTTTGGGTTCACAAATGATTTGAAATGATTGCATGTAAATCTTTACAGTTATAAGGGTTTTAGATATATTTGAATTCGAATTTAGAGTAGATAAAAATTTTCACTAATCTCCTGAGACTTGATCATACTTAGCTCCTACATCCTGCTAAGGCTAGGGGTGCTCATCGGACTGATTGATCAGGTAGAAAAACATTTGAACAATCCAACTCAATGTTTGTAATTTGAAAATTTTCAAACCCAACCTAACCAAAGTGCAATCCAACCCAAATGTTACTTCCATAGTGTTTTGCTGTGAAGTTTTAAATGTAAAAATGTGGTCTTATGGGTCTCACGAAAACATGTTGGTCTCACGTGATCCCAAATCTAGACTTGGGATCATGTGAGACCAGACTGTTTTCGTGAGACCCGTGAGACCAGCTTTTTACACTTGAAACTTCACAGCAAAATGCTGTGAAGCTAACCTTCACAGCGTTTTTGCTGTGAAAGTTCGACTTTTTTAAACCTTCACAAACCTTCACAGTGTTTTTGTTGTGAAGTTTCAAGTGTAAAAATGTGGTCTCACGGGTCTCACGAAAACAACCCGGTCTCATGTGAACCCAACCCTA